TCGTGTAGGACAGTTTTTCTTAAAAATAATTTAAAAATTCTGTAATAAATATCTTGATAAATGAAAAATTGGGATTATGTAATTAACATGTGTCTTAAGAGATATAAATTAAGATATAACAAAAATCAGATGTTTTCAGCATAGATGAGTGAAAGTAGTGAGTCATGATATTCTTTAATTTAGGTTTCACCAATATATGTTGTAGTATTGTATGTGTTTCTTAGGGTTAGATTTTCGAAAGCATAAATGTTTTTTTGAAAAATTAAAAATTTACCTAAGTGTGTTTATTTATGTGTATAGTAAACACTATTTAAGTATAATTTAATTTTATAACGTGGTTAGTTAGTTAATTTAGTCAATTTAGTTTAGGGTTTAGGGTCTGGACAACTGAAATATCAGTCATCTGGTAAATAATTTTACACAGACGACTTACAAGTAAGTCGTACTAATATTCCCGCCTAAAATTTAAAAAAAAATTATTTTCCCACTTGAATAATTTAAACCAGACAACTTACTTGTTAGTCTTCTGGACGACTTACTTGTAAGTCTTCTGGATGACTTAGTTATAAGTCTTCTGGACGACTTACTTCTAAGTCTTCTGGACGACTTACTTCTAAGTCTTCTGGACGACTTACTTCTAAGTCTTCTGGACGACTTACTTCTAAGTCTTCTAGACGACTTACTTGTAAGTCTTCTCGAAAGTATTCTATTTTAGTTTCCCGCTAGAAATATTTTAGTTTCCCGCTAAAATTATTAAAGTCTCTTGGACAACTTACATTTCAGTCATCTGAATCGAAAATATTTAACCTAATTTTTTTTTTGTTTCCCTATAAAAATAAAAATTTACACATTCTCTCTCCTCCTCTCAAATGTCTGCAACAAAAAATGTAATGTTCATCTTTCTAGAACTCTCCAATCTCTCTATAATCTCTTTGAACTTATAAACACCAAATTTTATATCAATTTATTATTTTTGTGTCATGTCTTTCTCATTAACTTATCTTGTTTTGTATGTTTTTCATCACATGATTCTCATATTCCACTCATTTAAAGATAGATCTATTAACTTTATATGAATTTTTCAGTTATGTCTCATGTTTTTCTCACTAATCTATCTTTTTTTTTGCAGGTTTTTAATCATATGGTTCTCATCTTCATTTGGATGTATGTTATGTTTTCTATAAAAGTATATATATATCTAATCTTTCACTCATTTTCTATTTGAATGTTTTTTGATATGCAGGTTTTTCAGATCTGGGCTTGAAATTCAGGTTTTCAGATCTGGAAGTCTTCTGGACGACTTACTTGTAAGTCTTCTGGACGACTTACTTGTAAGTCTTCTGGACGACTTACTTGTAAGTCTTCTGGACGACTTACTTGTAAGTCTTCTGGACGACTTACGTGTAAGTCTTCTGGACGACTTACGTGTAAGTCTTCTGGACGACTTACTTGTAAGTCTTCTCGAAAGACTTCTGGGACGACTTACCTGGAAGTCCTCTGGACTTCCTGTAAGTCATCTGGAATTCCTGTAAGTCATCTGGAATTTCTGTAAGTCGTCTGGAAGTTGTCTGGACTTTTTGAAAGTTTTCTGGCGCTGTCTTCTTTCATATCAAGTAGAGTCCAAGCTTGTCTTTGTAAAGGAATGATCTATTATAGTTTTGTAAAATCAGTTCCCAAGATGTAATATATGTGCTAACAATGTGTTTACACATGTACAAATCAATGAAATAGACTTCAGTAGCTTTTTTCATCTTTTGGATCTCCCATATGCAATAATAAATCACAATGTCCTTCTGCTCATCTTAATAAACAAGAATGTTGGTAGCCTCGTATTGATAAAACATTTTAAGAAGAATTCGTCCAGACGACTTAACTGTAAGTCTTCCGACAGGTCATTTTTGCAATTGAAATTTAAATGAGACGACTTACTTCTAAGTCGTCCAGCTTTGTATGTTAAAAAGAATCTAGACGACTTACGGATAATTCGTCTTAGGTTAAAATTCTTGTTTAAAATGTTTTATCAATACGAGGCTATCAACATTCTTGTTTATTAAGATGAGCAGAAGGACATTGTGATTTATTATTGCATATGGGAGATCCAAAAGAGGAAAAACGGGCTAGTTTTGCATTTGACCGAATTGTGTCAGATATTTGACTTTTCTTGGACGACTTACCAGTAAGTCGTCTCCGGGAAAGTTAAAATTTCAATATTTTATTAAATCTAGACGACTTACGGATAATTCGTCTTAGGTTAGTTTTGTAATTGAAAAATAAAACTTTAATTTTAACTTTTCTCAGAAGACTTAATTTAAAGTCGTCCACACAGACGACTTATTCTAAAGTCGTCCGAGATAAGCAAAGTTTGACCGGAAAATAATCTGGACGACTTTACTTATCTCAGACGACTTTAGAATAAGTCGTCTGACTGGACGACTTTAAAATAAGTCGTCTGACTGGACGACTTTAAAGTAAGTCTTCTGGAAAAAAATTAAAATTAAAGTTTTTTTTTTCAATTACAAAACTAACCTAAGACGACTTATCCGTAAGTCGTCTAGAACTAATAAAATATTGAAATTTTAACTTTTCCGGAGACGACTTACTGGTAAGTCGTCCAGGAAAATTCAAATATTTGACACAATTCGGTCAAATGCAAAATTAGCCCGTTTTCCTAGACGACTTACTTATAAGTCGTCCAGATATTTTTTTTTTTTTTTTAACATACAAAGCTGGAAGACTTAGAAGTAAGTCGTCCAGCTCATCCAGAAGACTTACTCGTAAGTCTTCTACGCGAACAGATCTGGAAAAAATTTCAATTTCATACCTTAAACTAGGTGAGATGACTTTCTTAGCACACAAAGTCTTCTCCAACCACCTAGAATATCAAATGAAAGTAACCCACCAAGAATTATATGCTTAAATGGCTCTATCAACCATAAAAAAAATTGAATCAAAAGCTTGAGTTTTTTGTATGAATATGGAGATCAAGTGAAAGAGATGTTGTTTTTAGTTCATAACAATTGAGAAAGAGAGAGTGTAAATCGATTTTAGGTGCATTAAGAGCTTCAAATTGGTTGTTCATGGTAGTTAGGGTATTGATGGCAATGTCAATCTTGTAAATACTTGAAGATGATGAGGTTGAGAGAGTAAAAAAACAATTTTCAAAAAAAAGAAAAATAAAAGTGTAATGGCATTTTCGTAAATAATGTGAACAAATGGGGTGAATAAAACAAACGAAAAATCAAAAAACAAAAAAGGTTAGTTTTGTGTTTGACTTTGAGTTTTAAGTCAAATTTGCAAAAATCTCATTTTTTAAACTATATACATATTTGAGTTTTGGCATTCGTTTGACACATTTTAGAATATATAGATATATAGTGGATGTGTTTAATTAATATTATTAGGATTAAATTAATTAATATTTTTTAATCTATGATTTATTGTATTCACTACTAATATAAATATATTTAAAATCGTTTATATAATTGTTTATATAGTGTCTTATGTATTTATATGTATATTATCAGTTTATATATGTAATCTATGATATTCAATGGTTTCTATAAATTATGTTAATTAATCTATATTTAAGATATTTAATTGTTTGTTTGGAAACATAGATTTTACGTAATTATAGGATTAGTTTTCTTTTAAAACTTTTAATTAAATAAATAAATAAAAACTATCAATAAATAAGATTATAACGATTGATTAGAGAACTCTCCTCTAGGTGACACGTCAGCATAATCCAATTAAGATACTTCTCAATTAATAATAAGTTATTTTTGTGGAAAATAGGTTAGTAGATATTTATATATAAAATAAATATTTATTTAATTTTTTACGTGTAATAAAACAACTCAAATTTCTGTGGTTTCGTTTGGCATTCTGAAAATTCTTTTATCGAAAACAAAAATTACAGAATCACATCACCTCCACCCAATGTTTTTAAACTCGACCCGGACACTGAATCTGACACCTTGCCGGATCACCGGGTTATTGGATCAACCACGGATGAACCATGGGTCAATACATTAATTAATTTTAATAAATAATTATATATTAACTATTAAAAATATAGGACAAATTTCATATTTCTTCAAAACATAGAAAATATTTAGATTTGCTCTCTTTATTTTTTGTTTTATTTCACATATAACATATTTAAAATTAGATTAGACTGTTTAACAAATTTTTATAAGAAATTAGGAGTTGAGACATATAGTAAATCATAACAAGACTTAAATCTGATAAGTTTTTAGATATTTATCATTATTCAGTATATTATCTTTAAGAGGCATAATGCAATGTTCATCAAAATCAATAAATAGTTTAGTCAATATTATATATAATAAGATCAATAAATTTGATTAACAAACCACTATTTATTTATAAACATGTAAAATCAAGAAAATAAAATAAAAGCATGTGATTAGAATAAAAATGTAGCTTATATGATAAAAGTTAGAACCTAAAAATTAAAATCAAATGTTATTTACCACATACGAAATCAACAAAAAAATTAAAAGAAAATTGAAATAGATATTATATATATATATATATGCGATAACACGAAAAAAAAATTATGAGAAAACTAAAAATTAAAAAACAAAAATCTAACTTCTTATTTTGGGTACACAAAAATATTTAATAAAATAGTTAAAAACCTAACAAAAACTAAATAAAAATAACTCATTGGTTCACCCGATGGTTTAACCGATAGCCGGGTCATCGGATCTAACAGTTTTTAATTAGTGGATATTTCTTAAAACCCAAACTAAATTACTTATCGGGTCACCGGGTTTAGCGGTTGGATCGCGGGTCTGGGTCGGGAATGAAAACACTGCCTCCACCCTGAGATTGCCAATCTAAGCTTTTTCGTTTTGTAGGGACTGTCTATATACTCAGTTGGGTCAGGTAGGTGAGGCCCCTTTGACACGGCATGGTTTTTCTTCCACCAAAAATAAAATAATGAGAGAGAGAGAGAGAGAGAGAGAGACAAAGGCAGAAACACTCAGTTGGGTCGAGTGTGTGTCGGTGAAACGTTTTAAAGAGAGCGAAGAATCATGAGAGTGAGAGAGATATTCAATGGAGAAACTGAACCAAACATTCTATTTATCGCATGGATCTCCAAGGTTGAGCATAGATGACACCTTGGAGGCAAGACAGTTCTTCAAATCATGGTCTGAAAAAGTTTTTCAACACAAACCCAAATCTATTTTAGTCATCTCTGCTCACTGGGACACCGAGTTTCCATCCGTCAATACTGTTCTCCACAATTCCACCATCCATGATTTCAATGGTTTTCCTGATCCCATGTACAAGGTCTCTCTCTTCCTCTTTCTTACAAAAAATAAACCCTAACTTTTTTCTAACACATGTTTAATAATCTTGATCCACAATCTTAGGGTTTATGCTAAACCATAGTCAGATAATCCTATGTTTTACCAACTTGATTTTTGCAGCTGAAATATGAAGCACCAGGAGATATTGAACTGGGAAACAGGGTTAAAGAATTGCTAATAGGAGAAGGAGGACTAAAACGTGTTGATGAAGATACAGAGAGAGGACTTGATCATGGAGCTTGGGTTCCTCTTATGCTAATGTATCCAGAGGCGGATATACCGGTTTGTCAACACTCTGTTCAGTCATCTCAAAGTGGGACTTACCATTACAACATAGGCAAAGCATTGGCTCCACTGAAAGGAGAAGGTGTTCTTATCATTGGATCTGGAAGTGCCACTCATAACTTGAAGAAGCTTGAATTTAGCATCCCCAATGGCTCACCGGTTCCTTGGGCTTTAGAGTTTGATCATTGGCTCAGAGATTCTCTCCTTCAAGGAAGGTATAAATTACAATTACTGGTTAATGTTGTAAGAATCATTTCTAGTTTATGTTTTTTGCAGATATGGAGATGTGAATGAGTGGGAAGAGAAAGCTCCAAATGCTAAAATGGCGCATCCGTGGCCTGAGCATTTGTACCCATTACATGTTGCAATGGGTGCAGCTGGTGATGGTGCCAAGGCAGATCAAATCTACACAAACTGGCAATTTGGTTCTGTTTCTTATTCTTCTTATAGCTTCACTTCTTCCCTTTGAAACATTTCGTTTTGTATCTCCTTCACTTTTTGTGTATCTACTTCAGTAAAAGCTTTCTGTATTTCACTTATATCTTTAATAATCATTGTCCATGTATGATATTCAAATACAACTCCTATTTGTAATAATGGTGTATGAATGATCCAAGTGAACTTGACTAAACTGAATTCTCTGTAAATTAGTTGTAACATTTATCTATATAAAGCCTTTCTGCTATTTCATCATCAGCACCTTCAAAAACTATAAGAACATGTTTGGCTGAATATCACTATGTTAGTTCATCAATATTTGTGTTGTACGGTGACATTCTCAATACCATGCTTAGATGCATCTCGTTATGTTTTCTGTTATTTTGCACATCTGACGGAGAAGTCACACGAGATGATAACATAAAGAGAAGCTTGCATGAACCTCTAATCAAATGTTTTGATCTTGGGTTAGGAATTGCTTTTAATCTATGAATTCGCAATGTTGAGAATATGGGACTTTATCAAAAATAATACATTTCTGATTCCCTCTCCTCCAAGTTAAGAGTTTCAGATTTTTTCACCAATACAAACAACACAAAACGGTGTTTACTTGCCACACCTGTTTCATTTTGATCTTCTTCTCTTTAGTTTACACCACATCCCACTTTTGGCATGGATCGTAGCACCGCTCACTAGTTCAACAGATTCTGGCGGTCCACGCAGCTCCACGTCGAATTTCTGCAACAACATAGCTAGTGCAACGGTAGACTCCATTAGTGCAAACTGGTCTCCAATGCATTTCCTTGGCCCTCCACCAAATGGTAAGAATGCAAAGTCTGCTATGATCTGTTCTCACCATAATACCACCACACAAAGAAGGCAAGTCTTGTTACAAAAGCAGATGGGAGCCAAGTGTGGAAGCACCTAAAAGAATAAAGTCTTAAGAGAGAGATTAGGTTTGCAAGTTTTGGATGCTCACCTCGTTGGGGTAAAGCGCACCAGGGCTTCTAGATGGATCAAAGCCAGCCCAGCCTTCAATTCCATTGCTCTCCTTTGTTCTTAAGAACCTCTCAGGCTCAAACTCTTGTGGGTTATCCCAAAAGTATGGAGATCTATGGAGATTGTACACCTGAAAGTTTAATGACAGATAATTAAACAAAAGCAGGTTCCATTGAAGAATCATAAACGATTATAGAAGCTACCACTTACGGAAATGAAGATATCAGTCCCTTTTGGAACTTTATGACCTTCCTTTTCACCTTTGTATCCTCCTGCAGACGCAAGACATGGAGAGTTATAAGCTCTGGTCTAAGTCATTCTCTAGTAACCATTGAGATATGATGTGTTATACCAGGTAAGGTTTCTGGTTTCAGAGTGCGTCTGATGAGCAGAGGCGGCTGAGGATAGAGACGAAGGGATTCTACAACGATCAGTCGTATGTACCTGCAGAAGCATTGAGCAAAGCAGTCAATGATCGAAAAACAGACCAAAAGAAAGATCTAAGTATAAGTTAAACGTACTCTAGCTTTTTCAATGATTCATAAGTAGGTGCACCTTCACCAAGGACAGCATCAATCTCGGCTTGAGCTTTCTTAATTTTTGCAGGATTCTGCAGAGTTTAGAAGTAGAAATGCTAAAACTGTACAATGAGCTTTTCTTAAGCAGTCATGGGAAAAAAGAGAGTAAGACACTTAAGTGCATACTTGTGCAAGAAGGTAAACAGCCCAAGTAAGAACAGCTGCTGTTGTCTCGTGACCAGCAATTAGCATAGTCATTAAGTCATCCCTCAGCTGTGTAAAGATAAATAAATCATAAGCAGAAGATGATAACAAGATTGTTGAACAGAAAATTATATAATCTTGCCTGCCGGTCATCAATATCAACACCACGCATATCCACCAAGAACCGTAAGAGACTTGCATCCTGTGGATCCAAGAATACATAATCAAAAGGCTTTTCATAATTGGGATGCAAGAGATAAAAGATAGCAGAACCTTGAGATTAGAGTAGTCACGTTGCTGGAGCTTTTCTACATCTGTTTCCTGGGAGAGAAAAAGAAATAACAAAAATCAGAACCTAGAAGGAGAATGAAGAGAGAAAAAGAAGTAGTGAAACACCTGTCTTGTCTCTTTTGCATTTTGAATGAGGCCATCAAGACAATCGTTTATAATCTTGAGATCGCTTTGGAACTTTCTTTGCCTCGGAACAATCCATCTGGCTGGAGGAAAGTTCCAATAGGGGAAGTAGAAAGTAGACCGATGCTCTGCCTCGAAAAGAGTCCCATACACCGCCTGTGATGTTAACAGAATTGTTCAAGAAGGGACCAGCTTACTACTTGGTAAAGAGACAATTCAAGAAAATCGAAAAACCTTAATCACAGGGGACTCTTTTGTGACAGAGCCAAAGTCGTAGTTGAACACGCTTAGACCTATAATATCAAGAGCCAAACTCGAGAACTCCGCTTCAAGATCCAACTCAATCGTGTCCCCTCCTCTGCTTGAAACTTCTTTCTCCTTTAAGAGTTTCTCAGATTTCAGTATCATTTTCTCAGAACAGTCGCTAAATACTTTGACCATAGCCTCGAGATACAATGCATGGAACGCAGGAGTTATAGCTGCAATGCAACACAGATGACAGATCATCAATGGCCATAAGAAGCACTGCAATATCTGAAAACATACAACAGCTAGTTTTTTTACCTCTTCTTCTTAACTTCCAGGTATCGAGGTCAGCAGGTATCAACCCTTTCCCCATGATCGGCTCTAAGATCTCAGCAAGAACTCCCTAAAGAAACACACACAGAGGAAGTTACTTGTAGGTGATATCAAAAAGAAAACAAATAAAGAAATGATCTTATTACACCTTGTCGTAAGAAAAAGCGTTTTCTCTGAGGACATGCCTTGCAACAATCGGATCAGAGATGACAACAAAGGCCTTTGGACCAAACGCAAGCTTATACACTCCTCCATGCTTCAGGATCAAGAACATCACAGAATCAAAACAAAGTAAATCATGACAAGATGTGTAGTTTTTTATAGAGAATATATATACCTCAATGAACCAGTCGTAAAGGGATAAGAAAAGAGGCTTTCCAAACAAATCAGAGACAGCTCCTTCAGCAGTGGGCATTGAACCCAAACTTCCACCGCTTAACAGGTTAGTAAAAAGGTTGCTAGCATTGTCCAGAATGTTACTAGTCTTTGGCTCTTTGGTATCAGTAGATTGGCACCTAAAAATGTCTCCCACAAAACCAAACTCAATAATTAACAAAATAAGTCTCTTACTTTGTGTCTTGTCTGGTTCTGCTTTTTCACATAACACAATAAAAATCTAAGAAAGCTATAAACTTTAGCTAATTCCAAATCTCTAGATTGAAGCAGAGCGCTTCAAAAATCGAAGGCAGAGAAACCTACCTGATGGAAAGAGAAGGTCTCTGTGAATTTCCAGTTTGAGGGTAGAGGCAGGGATCGGTCCTGCCCAGATGAAGACCACCGCCATGGAAGGAGGTCGAAGGGGCACAGTGAGTAGCGGCGGAAAGGAAAGACATGGCTGCCATCTTCACATGAAGCTGAAAGTTGTAAACTTTGATGAAGATTGAACAACATACATACTTTCTTTCTCTTCTTTATAGGTCATTCTTATCTACCACTGACCACCAGGACCAAGCATGTCAGATTGCATTAGCAAAGACTTATTACTGACTAGGCTGACACGTGTTCATTACTGCGTAGATAGATACTGTTCTTTTTCACCACTCCTTTTTCGTTTTTTTTTTTTATTTTTACTGTTTTTAGTCAGCACCTTTTGTATTGAAAGTCCATAGAGGGCGGGCGAAACTTCCATACAAAAAGACCCACTCGTATGTTGTTGACAAAAAAAAAAAGACCCACTCGTTGGCCCATTATATAACCCAACAAGAAAAATTGAAACATAAACCTGTATAGATAGTTACATCTGGTTGAACTGTATGCGATCTTGAGGGACTGATTTTTATTTCATGTTCGTTTGCTATTCTTAAAAGTGATTTAAATCCAGGGGATCATGACTAAAATAGATTCAAAATTTCCAGTTATGGCATTAGTAAGGCTTGTTTATTCCAGATCTCTATGCTTGTTTCTATGACGCAAATGATATAGAACTGTGTATCATATAGAACTGTGTATGATCAAACACTCCAATGGTTTACATGAAGACCATACTTAAACGAATAAAACAAAATCAACCCAAATATCCAAATATTGTGACTTGAAACATATGAGCAAAACAACCAACAACATAGAGTGGTATGTATATTAATTTTCAGCACTTGCAGAAGTTGAGAAGCTTGACATCAGGGACTGGGTCTCTCTTCTTTTTCGATTTCTTGAAGTGTTTTGAAGCTACCTTTAGCAAACCATCCCATCCCTAAACCATAACCTCAATTATTATTTATTTATATATAAAACAGAGATAAGAATATCATGTAATCTACCTTTGTGGGAATAGCGAAGCAGCCAACTTTAGGAGAATCTTCGCTCTTCATCGAAGACATGTCTAGTTTCACTAACTTTTTCTTTTTGGTTGAGATCTTCATCTTCTTCTTACTTTCTAGAAACTCTCCGAGCTCAAGGTTCCGACAAACGAAAGTGTCCGAGTCTAGATCAGAAGGGCTTGCGTAGTTTCGAGGCAGTAGAGGAGACCAGAGAGAGCTCTGTGCGTAGTCAAATCCAAAAGCAGAGTTGTCTGGAAATTTTCGGAGTAGCTCTCGTCGCATTACTGGTTGTAAGTATTCAACTGTTTTTGTTGTAATAAGAGGAAAATTCTCCTTTTCTTCTTCTTGACTTCTTCTCGCCATTTTTGCTTACCTTCTTAAATTTTTCTTTCTGATCTTTTTTTTTTTTTTTGCTTTTCTTCCAATCACTGGGTTCCCTTTTATATTTTGGGTTAAGATCGAGAAGAAAGACGACCGTTGGGGTCATGTTTCTGGACACGTGTTTTATTGTTATTGGAGAATAAAACTGACTTTATGTCTGAAAAGTTACCGTTGGAAGACTTGATATTGCGATGCGCAGGAGTATATTGTATAGTGCAAACGGCCGAATCCAACATCTTCAATACTATTTTATTCACTAGAGCCAGCCTCGACTACGCCCGGATTTTTCGTTGAAATTGTAATTATATATGTTGTATGTTATTTTGATATATAAATATTATAATATAATATAAAATATAATTAGTTAGAAAATTATATAATTATTTTTAATTATTTATTGTTTCTTGTCTTCTAAATTTCAAAAATTTTAATATCCAAATTATGTATGTCGTAGATTATCAGTATATGTTTTGCGTGGAACTATTTGTGTATTGTGGTTCGTCTCGACTTTCGTTTCTTTATTTTTTTTTTTATTATTATTTTTTTTCATTTTTTTGTAAAATATTGTTTGCTTTTTTATTACTCATTGTTTACTGTTTGATTTTTTTTATAATTATTTTAAATTTGATCTTATTTACCTAAAATAGAAAGAAAATTTAGTATCTAAATCGTTTTTTCCTTAGGTTTGATAAAAAAATAAAAGAAAACAATATAATAATAGATTTTTGTCTTTCTAAATTTATAGACTTCTTTATCTATTTTGAATATGTTTAAGTATTCTGTAATTTTTACTTAACTATTAAATCTTTATTAAAACTTTCATTAAACAGAAGAAAAAAAACTTTTAATTAAACTCAAGCTATATTACATAGCATAATTAAATTTTAATTAGTCTATTTTTATATTTTATTAGTTCTTGGTTTTTAAATTATTTTCATTATGTATTAATTGTTAATCATTTTTAAATCATTTTGTATTCTAGGTTAACTTTAAATTTAGTAGTAAAAAGGGAACCAAAAATCTGTGAGATTCAGTATTTTTATTTTCGTTGGTATAAATCTAATGAAATGTATAAAGATTAATAGTGTAAATTGATTTATCCTCTTTCTCATGAATTTTATTTATTATAATTATATATTTCGCTAAATGATTATTTTTATTATAATTATAATAATAATTAAAAATTCATTAGTTTTAATTATATTATATATTTTCACTAAATGATTATTTTTTAACAAAATGATTAATGTCAATTTTTTGGTATACAAAAATAAAATATGTATTATAATGATTTAGAAGTTATTAAATTGTTTGAAAGTTCCAGTGGTTGTATTTAGGGTTCACTTCATGTTTGTTTGGTACATGTTATACGAATCACTGTGATATAGTTGTATATTTTTGCAAGTTCTATTCTCGAGCCTATGGTATTATGTGCTATTTTTTTCTCCAACTTATTCTTAAAAACCATCAATTAACTGGAAAGATATTTACTCCCATTTAATTTTTATTACTGTTTCAAAAGAGATAAACGCACACTCGTCACTGTGCTAGATATAGTGTACGTATCAATATTTTCTCATTTTCCTTCTCTTTTCCCTTTTATTTTATTTTTATTCTATTTGATCGTAAAAATTTGTGAGATCTTAGCGGCCACTGAAGTGGTGCTATGAGGTGAAAGATTCTGAGGCAAGATGGTGTTAAGCTAATGACATATTATTTTGTCAGGTTATACGCCTGATATTCAGATTTATTATGTCTTCATCTTATGTGTATTCGTTTCAAGATAATTGAATGTTATTTAGTGTTTATTTTGTCTATAATAAAATGAATGACATGTTCACTTAAGAGTTTCACCATCTCTATCAAAACTTGATGTCTGTTTATATTTTGGACATTTTATTTTTATCTAATGTCAAACATATTTTGCAATATTATATTATTTTTAGTATTATAATATTTTATGTTTTATTTGTTTATCATAAAAGTACATAGTTATTTTTATGTGTCCGCTTATTTTTCATATGCAATAAATGATATAAGTTCAGTGTGTATACAATATCATTTTTAACAACCACATACAATATAATTTATGTGGGGATTTTTGTATTTGTTTGATGTGTTTATTCTTTTTGATTTAATTTGTATTCTGATTTTTTCTGTATATTTAATGCATATTAATTCCTAATGTGCTACTATTAAAAATCTAGTGATACACACACACACACATCTATATATATATATATATTCAAATTTAGTGAATATCTGATTTTTCTTAATTTACTGAAAATCAGAATAACATTAAATTTCACTATTTATATTTTGTTATTTTATTAATAACATTAAAATTCACTATTTATATTTTATTATTTTATTATATAAGTAATTTCTAACGTTTGTCAATGTTGATAAAATAAAATATCAAAAAATATAAATTATGGATTATTTTCAGCCTTATACATTTTTTTGAATTCATGGATACTATGATTTTTAATATTATTTTTATTTCAAAATAAAAGATTCGTCGTTCTTGAAAAGAATTGATAAATGCATTCACATAAAGTAAATATTTGTTAATATTAAACATTCACGTTTTTGTAAGAATAATTTTGCATGTCATGAGTCACTTTTTCTTCATTATATTTAGTGACATGACATCATAAGATGGAAAAAAATTCTTCTTTATATAATAAGATGTTGTGGCGTTACAATATTTACTTATTCAGATTCAATCTAAATTCACTGATAGCGATTTTGATTATATTATAATTAATTGATTTGATATTGAAAACATTTACGTCTGTCTCCATAATTTTGAAAACACTTTCCATGATCGTTCAATGATAATTGTATATTGTTTAAAAATTTTAAATGAGAAGTTGATTGAAGTATTACCACTGGTTACCATTTTTCAAAAATAATATTAATTAAACCTACATTAACATTTGAATTTAGGGTTTAATTATTATTGTTTAGGGATTATTAATTTTTTTCATCGCAAAATTTATGATATTTATGAAAATTTTCATCTTTTAAAGGTAACTTTAAAAGTGGTATCCAGTTTATATAAATAAATAAATTACAATTCACTCTTAAATATATAAATACATATATACATACATACATACATATATATATATATATAATTTTCCAAAGTAAAAATATATGTATGCAATATAGCAGAATTTTGCTGGTCAATTTTAAAAGAGATGATAAATTTTGGATTGGTGGATGCATACATTCTTTTTACACGAAGCACAATACATAAATTTAACTATATCCCTATATATTAATTAAAGTGAGAATACCTCAACAGGGATAACAAATGAAGGAGGGATGACATCTTACCTTTGATTTCAGAAGATATCAGTGGATCCAAGCGAAAACTTTTTGTTTTTCTAAAGATAAAAGTTGTAAAACCGCGTTAACAGATGGACTGGACGATATTTGTCGCGTTGAAGAAAGAAGGTTTTAATAAAATCTATATTACTGGCGTTGCCTACCTATGTAATGCCGACCCTCCTATTACCACTAAAGACTTGTGACCCCCCCCCCTTTCCCAAAGAGGTATTCACTGGACAATATGAGAGAAGTTCAAGGGAAGAGAGAAGAATAGAGTTCATAATGATCCATGAATTCAATTTTGCTCTGCTAGGAAAAAAACTTTAGAGATTAGAACAGTTTCATCTCCTTGTTAACAAGAGTACTGAGAGGAAAATACTTCAGGTTTAGTTTGCCTATGCGACGAAATAATTTTGATAATATCTCATATGGATGGACTAGTATTATGACTGCAAAAATGTTAATAACATTGGGCAAAAAATTCACTCGGGAGTGAAATCAGAATCTGGGAAGATCATTGGATACCAACGATACATGCCAGTCCTGCTAGACCAATAGCCCATGTGGTTCATCCGATAATGCCAGTAAGCCAACTCATGAATGTGATTCCAAAGCAGTGGAACTTGGAATTACTAGAAAGCTATGTCAATATAGAAGATATCCCACTGATCTGATCCTTGGCCATAAGCCAGGGACATTAAATTGATGAATTATGTTGGTCCTATACAAAGAATGAAAGATGCACGGTTAAATCTGGATACTGGATGACAACTAATGTTTTCAACAGAGATATATAGGCAATACCAGAATCAAGTATAGTCAAACTACAAGCCTTTGCTTGGTGGATCAAACCTCCGCCGAAGATCCGACATTTCATATGGCAAGCGATATCATGACAACTAGCAGTAACAAGTAACGTAACTCACCATCATATGCGATGTGATAATCATTGTCCTAGGTGTGGGGCTGCAAATGATACGATCAATCATGCTCTATTTGAATGCCCGCCAGCATTACAAACCTGGGCTCTTGCAGAAACCCCAACTCCGCCTTCAGTGTTTCCTAGCGCGAGCCATTTCACAAATATTGACTACTTATTCTGGTGCAAAAAATGATATTGAAGATCCTAAGCTTTATAAGGATCCTTACCCGTGGATCATATGATATATATGGTAGGTTCAGAATGACAAACTGTTCAGAAGGCTGGACAGAGACCCATTGGAAACTGCCAGACATGCTGAAGCAGAATGCAATAATGCATGTTTGAGGCAAATAATAAACCTGAGAATGTAACAACGGAGAGTCAACCTCAAGAACCTTTGACTGACTCAAGGAGATGCATGATTGATAGATCATGGACACATGACACACTCGTTAGTGGTTGTGGATGGACATGGAAGAACTCTAATGGTACAATTCAACTTCTGGGTACTAAAAACCAGCGCGGAAGAATCTCACCCTTACATTCGGAATTAGAGTCCCTTTTGTTGGCAATGGAGTGCATACTTAAGATGTCGACGTGTCAGGCGTTCGGCACCGACTGCAAGGACCTAGTCTCGATGACCCAAGATCCAGGAGCATGGCCAAACATTTCCACAGAACTGAAGGAGTTTTCAAGGCTGAAGAATAGCTTCACGGATTTCTAGATTTTTTTATTCCTCGTGCTGGAAATATATCATCTAATT